GTAGGGCGATGTGCTTGGTTCGGTTGGCGAAGCCATCCTTGTTCGCGATTTTGATCGCGGATTGGTTGTCGCAGAGGAGTGAGAAGGCGGGTAGGGTCGCGATCTTCGCTTCCTCGAGTAACTCCCGTAGGTAGAGTCCTTCCTTGGTCGCAGTACAAAGGGCGATATACTCTGCTTCAGCCGAGGATAGTGCGATTAACTCCTGCTTGCTCGACTGCCAGGAGATAGTTCCGATGGGCTCTAGTCGGTAGATGTAGCCCGTCCTGGATCGTCGATTTTCCTTATCTCCCGCGTGGTCGGCGTCGACATATCCGAGTAGTCGTACGGACGGCGTTGTTGCTTTGCTGTAGGTAAGCCCGATCGTCGGCGTGGAGACGAAGTAGAGTAGTGCCCGGTTGAGCTCCTCGAGATCTTCCTGTTCCGGTTGCTTCAGATGCGTCGCCAGTTGACTTGCACTGTAGGACAGGTTGGGTCGGCAGGTTACTGCTGCGAATAGTAGGCAGCCGAGCTTCTGTTGATACTCCTGGATTTGCTTCGCGGGGAGTTTTGCGGGGGCGCTGTTGTTATTTCCGTAGCGGTAGGGGGTCGGGACCGTAGTCGGCGTCAGTCCGAATTTCTTCGCGATAGTGCCTGCGTACTTTCCAGCGTGTAGGTAGAACGCCGAGTTGTCTTCGACGACATTTAGTCCCAAGTACTGGGTCACTGAGTCGGACACCGTGATCGTCAGGTCTCCTTTCAGCTCCCCTTCGAACCAGGTGGCGATGTCGGTGGTAGAACTGATGTAGAGTAGGTCGTCGACATAGACGATAAGTAGGATGTATTCTCTTCCCTGCTGCAGTCGGTACATGCCTTGGTCATGCGGTAGCTGTAGGAATCCAATTTTTACGAGCCGGCCGTGAAGATGCTGCTGCCAGAGCCGCGGGGCTTGCTTGATCCCGTAAAGGGATTTTGTCAGTTGGCATACTTTCGTGGGGTCGTCGACGAATCCGTGGGGTTGTTCGACGAAGATCTCAGCGTCCACAGGTGCGTATAGGAACGCATTCGCGACGTCGATTTGGCGTAGTGGTAATGTTTTCGTGGCCGCGATGGCGAGTAGGATGCGTAATGAGGTGTGACGGGAGACTGGAGCGAAGGTTTCAGTGTAGTCGGTCCCGTATCGTTGATCGAAGCCTCGTACGACCCATCGAGCTTTGAATCGTTCGATGGAGCCGTCTGAGTTGGTCTTAATGCGGTACACCCATTTCCCCGAGAGGACGTTCTTCCCGTTGATGCTTGTTGCAGGTACCAGTTTCCATGTTTTCCGGTCTTGCAGAGCCTTTAACTCCTTTTCCATCGCTTCCTTCCATTTCGCCTTATGTTCCCCCCCCAGAGCCTGCGACAAGGTTGAAGGCTCTCGCGGAGAAGGCGGCGGCGGATGCTGGACGGAGACCCAGAGGCCTAGAATCTGCAGTCCCGTGGGTGTGTGTCGAGGGGAATTTTCATTCCCGGAATAAGCTGCTTCGTCACCGTCTTCTGGGTCAGGTAAGAAGTTGGGACCGATGCGTTCTGAAACATTTGTGTCGACTGGGTGGGGTGTAACGTAACCTTGGTCAGCGAAGTGGTAAAAGGTGTCGAGGTTGTTGCTATCGAGAGGATTTTCTTCGTCGAGTGGAACAGGTACGGAACAGAATGGGAGTGGTCCGGCAGCTTCCGAGGCTTCTGGTACGTCTTCTTCTGCTGCGTCAGCTTCGGCGGCACGGTCGGCGAAGGAACGAAGTCCTGAGAAACCGTCGGTGGGGTCTTGTGTGTTGGCAATGTTGTCCAGGTAATGCTGCAGCGTCAGTCGCTCGTAGAAGATAACATCTCGTGATGCCACCGTGTTTTTGTTTTGTATGTCGAGAATTTTCCACGCGTGAAAATGTTTGGCGATGCCGAGGTGTAGTCCCCACCGAGCTCGTTGTGTGAAGCGTCCTGCTCGGGCTGTGTGGGGTCTGTACTGTACCATGCAGCCAAAAACTCTGAGTAATTTTGTGCTGCCCCTTTTTCGTGTCCACAACAGGTGCGGTGATGCGTTGTTGGGAAGTGATGACGAGGACAGCAGGTTGTGCAGGTGAACAGCATGTGTCATCGCGTCGGGCCACAGTGTGGTTGGCAGTCTCATCCCCTGAAGCAGTTTTCGCATTGTCGTCTGCAAGGTCCGATTCATGCGTTCTGCGACCCCCTGCTGTTGGTGAGCATAGGGCAGGGACACCAGGCGTCTGATTCCTCTTTCCGCCAGATAGGTCCTGAAGCGTTGTGACTGGTATTCCAGTGCACCGTCTGACTGGAAGCTCTTGAGTTTGAGTCCTGATTCTCGTTCGGCGATGGGAAGCCATGTTGTGAAGGCTTCGAAGGCTTGATCGCGCGTCGTGAGATTGAAGTGCCAGACATATCTGGTTGCGGCGTCGATGAACGTGATGACGTAGTTGAAGTCGGCTTCGGTGCCGTCTCGAGGCATGTTTAAAATATCGCTGTAGACCTTTTCCATCGGAGCGTAAGTAGGTGCGCTTGGGTTGTGATGGGATGGGAAAGGTTGATGAGGAAGATCTGCTTCGGGGCATGTGAAGCACCGTGCGCGTGGTCGTCGAAGTTCTTGGCCGCTCGTCGTCAGAAGGGCGTTGCGTTCTAACACATCTGCTTGGATTGTTTGAAGTATCGTGCTGTTTGCAGGATGTCCGAGACGTTGGTGCCAGATGTCGTCGAGAGCGCGGTGACCGAGCGAGCGGTGGTAGATGTCGGCGTTGGAGAAGAACGCGACGACCGAGGCGGGACTTCGACAAGCTTCTCGTGTGGCGGGCATAAGTTGGTCTGCTTCGGTTGGCGGTCCTCGTGTCGCTGGTGGTGGTACTCGGCTGGGTCCTGCTGCCGATACTGCAGGTGATGGTTTTGTTAGGACACGTGCGGGTACTTGTCTTTCTTGTCTGATAACTGCTAATGCTCGTGTTCTTTCTGCTGCAGGTATGGTGTTGGAGTGCCAGAAGCCGTCACTGTCGAAGTCGGGATCAAGATCCGGCGGGTGAGTCAGGCGGCGAATGATACGATACCGTCGCTGTCGGCAGTACCGCGGTCGGGGACGAAGTCCAACACGAAGACGCCGGACTTCAGGAGGGCACGACCGATGAAGAGGCCGCCCTTCCCGTGGTAAAGCCGAAACTCGTTGGAGTAGGAGTCGCACTCCAGGTGAATCCCCTTGGCCATTAGTTGGCTTACGCTTAGTAGGTTGTATCCCAGATTGTCGACAATGAGCACTTTGTTGAGCTGAAGTATGACGTTTGTCTCCATCGATTGTAACTGAACCACGCCTTGTCTGTTTGTCTTCAGGTTTTCGTTGTTGGCGACGGTGATGACGACGTCGCGGTTGAGGCGTTTCTCCTGTTGCACGAAGCGTCCCGAGGAGCACATGTGTTGACCGCAGCAGCTGTCCAAGAACCAGGTGTTTCGCCCGGTGGGTTCGGCGTTGGCGACCGCAGCATATGTTGGATTGACTTGAAGGCCTTGTGAGCGTGGTGGCGGCAGCTCTTCTTCGTCTGGCGCGCAGGTGGGTGGTGATCCGGGTGCGCAGTTGTCGATGTGTACCATGCAATTGATAATGTTTGGTGTTTGTTGTGCAGATGTTGAAGAGCGCCTTGGGGGACTGGCTTGAGTAGAAGTTACTTGTGGGTCTGCTGCACGGTAAACGCGAGGGCGGTTGCAGTTGACTTTGGAGTGCCCGGAAGTCTGGCAGTTGTGGCAGAACGGCGGTACGATGGTGAGTCCTCGGTTGTCGCGTTGATCTTGCTTGTTGCGTCGGTTGTAGTTGTTGTCATTTCTTCTTTGAGTGTAGAAGACTAACTGCTGTTGCTTCCTTGGTTGTCTTTCCTCGAACAGATCCATCTCCTGTTGTTCAGCGTGAAGCTCGGCGCAGAGGTGCATCTCCGAAATTCTTCCGTGGGCTCGAAGAAGTGATCGTGTGGTTCTCCATTCTGGCCCGAGCCCGGCGAGGACAAGTGTTACGAAGCTTTCTTCAGTGATCGTTCCTCCGCACCGGAGCAGGCGGTCGCGGAGGGTTTGGCAGCGACTCATATACTGCATCGCCTTTTCCCCGGTCTTCATCTGTATTGTTGTCAGCTGTTGCATGAGTTTGCTTTGTGTCTCGCTGTCGTTTGCTTGATAGAGGCACTTGAGATGATGCCATGCGAGTTCCGCGGAGTTTCCATAACTCCGATACGTTCTGATGCTCTGCTGCTCTTGTGGTGACAAGTTTCTCAGGAGTACAGTATACGCCAGCAGCGACTGATACGTGAAGATTTCTTGTTCCTTCCCAGTGCCGTTGCTTGGGAATGGCAGGGACCCGTTGAAGTATCCTAGAAGGTGCGCGGCCTCCATCAGCAGCTCGAATTCGAAGCTCCAGGTAAAGAAGTCATGTCCGTTGAACGGTGAGGATGTCTGAAGTTTAATTACGTGTGAGAACTGTGCCTGAAGACTTAAGATTTCGTTCGGTGTTTGTTGTGATGCAGCTGCTGTTGGCTGGGCGCGGGGCGGCATGAACTCGAACGTCCCCGGTGAAGAGTGATAAGGCGCAAAAGTAGGTGCTTGATTGTGTCGCCCGAAGGATGAGTTGTCGAGGCTCATCGGCGCTAATCCCATATTCCCTCCATTGCTCTGTGTTGAGTGCGCAGGTGTCCTTGTCTGCTGCTGCTGGTCGAAGTGTGACATGAAGCTGAAGAATCTCTCCATGAGATTCGGGTCCACACTTGAAGAGGGAGACGGAGTCACCATCTCCGGTGCTCTTCCCGTTGTTTCTTGAGCAGTCCCGGTCTCTGTCTGCAGTCCTGAGGTGTGCAGACCAGAGTTGCCGTGTTGAGTTTCTTGGGCGCTGGGTGAGCCCGTAGAGGCTTTCTTGCCCTTGTTGTCCATGTCTTGTAATCAATGGAGTTGTTGAATCAAGTCGAGTTGCTGGTTGTTGATGGAGTGTAGTTGCTGGGAGTTTGGTCTCTGACCAGCTCTCATACCATGTTGGGCTGAGAAAAAGCCCTTAGGATCTTTTCAGACACTAAGTCCCAGCTGTGAAGACTTGAGCCTTTGAGTAGTGCAGCGGAAGTTGAGACGGTTGAACCCTTGTACTAGTATGTGAGAACAAGTGATTGATTAAGGAAACAAGCATACAACAATATATAGAAGATAAGAAAGCAGTTGTAGAGTACAGTTACAGGAACGGTTTATCGAGTCGCACAGCGACTCGATTGCTGCTTCGGCTACCATCCATGATGCTGTAACGGTCAGTCGCAACCTCCAGTTGCGACCTTTCGCATTCTTTGTCCGCCCCCTCGTGTAACCTCCGTTGACTCGCGTGCTCCCTTGTAGTCTTCCTCGAGTGTAGTGTTATACTTCAGAAACGCTTAAGTTCTTTGAGATATTTCCAACAGTTGTGTTCTTTATTCTCTCCTTGAATTTATTGCGAGTTGTTGGTGTATTTTACCATTTTGGAGGCCATCATGTATAGTTCCACTGGAAGAGTTCCTACACTACCATGTTGTTGGAGGTTGAGGATTGTGATTTGGGCCATCAAAGCACCATGTTGGTGGGTATGGACTACCTCCTAACTACTATTAGACATGGTTAATTCAGCACGTAAAATTCTCAGCCAATCATGTACATACAATCACCTGTAATAAGCCATGTGCCTACCAGCACCAGCAAAAGGATCCACCGCTCGCTTAGGCAAATCTCCACTTCTCTTAGCTTCTGCTGCCTCTTTCTCCCTCTTAGCCTTATCCTCCCTCAACCAAGGCTCAACCATTTCCAAAAGAGATGGCTGTTGCAATACGGATGCCTCATGTATCATAGCAGTTAGATGCGCTGACAAGGGAAGCTGAGAGCATTGCTCCACTGACTCCAACCGCTGCAACTTGCCGGACGAAATGAAAGCCAGGTGGGATGCCCATGACTCCAAGCCGTCGAAAATATGAGTGGCATACACCACTGTTGCTCCTCTCTGCATGGACGGGAATAGGGAATCAGAAAGAGCAGTTTGAGTCATGACTGAGAGAAACAGCATGTAGCCAGGTTGTGTGGCAGACAACACAGCGCAGGTTGTGTGGCAGACAACACAGCGCAGGTTGCGGGGCAGACAACACAGCGCAGATTGTGTGGCAGACAACACATGGCAGCAAGCCAGCAGTGCACTGAGGTTATCCAGCATCAGAAGGACGACAGAATGCCCATCCTGGGGACAACACCTAGAACGAGCATCAGCAGTACACCCCTGCTTCACTGCACGAGCTTCGGTACTTACCTCCTCACACTCTTGTTGGAAGAACGCAAGAAGGTCCATCCTGGCGACAACATCTAGGTCCACTGTCACCTCGTCCAGGAGCAGCACCTGCAGCATGGCAAGGGGAGGGGGGGGGAGGAAGAGGGGGGAGGATGAAGAGAGAAGGTTAACTCTGGCGACAGCATCTAGATCCACTGTCACCTCGTCCAGCAGCAGCACCTGCAGCATGGTAAAGGGGGGGGAGGGGGGAGGATGAAGAGAGAAGGTTAACTCTGGCAACAAAATCTGGGTCCACTGTCACCTCGTCCAGGAGTAGGACCTGAGGCATGGCAAAAGGGGGGGGGGGGGGGAAGGGGGGAGGATGAAGAGAGAAGGTTAACTCTGGCAACAGCATCTAGGTCCACTGTCACCTAGTCCAGCAGCAGCACCTGCAGCGATGGAGGGAGGAAAGTGGTGACAACTGACGGAACGAATTCATGGGCGAGACACAAGGGAACACTTACTTGGGCACACAACCGAGAGAAGTGCCCAAAACGGTCTACTTGGCCAAGAAGGCACGGGGGTTTCTGTGCCTGTTTGGTGTCCGCAGTTGTAAAAAACCTGCAACAGTTTGAAGGTGTCCACGCATCTCCTACCTGGAAGGGTCGCAGCTGGCCCATGCTGCTGGCCCATGCTGCTGGCCCATGCGGTTGGCCCATGCGGCTGGCCCATGCCCCAAACGCAGTGCATGCGCCACGACAGCTCAACATCCAGCAGCCCCACCAGGTGATTTCTGCTAGTTATTAGTTGCCTCTGGGCGTATCTCTCTTACCTGGAACGGTCGCAGCTGCCCCACGCAAATCTGCACTCTTCTTTCTCTGCCCTTCCGACCCAGGGCGCATGCGCCACAACAGGTCAATCCCAACAGATGCACCAAGCATTCCCTGCTATATATAACGTGTCTCTAGCCTCTGGGCGTGACCCTTACCTGGAACGGTCGCAGCAGCCCCATGCATATCTGCACTCGTCTCCTCTGCCCATCCGACACCCGGTGCATGCGCCACGCCAGGTCAATATCTAGCAGCTCCACCAGGTGGTCCCTGCGTGCTGCATCCACGTCCGCCACGCCATAGATCATGTGCTCCGCACTGAAATCGCCCTGGAGGGGGACTTCGCCCTGCAGAGGAGGGTGGAGGGAAGGACGGAACGCATGACAAGTCAGCAATGGCGTCGTAGCATAGCGACTGAAGGTGGCCGTGTATGACTAATGACAGTGGTGCTTTGGAGCGTGTTCGGTAGTTCGGATACGAAAGATCGTTGTGGTATTAGGGAGACGGTATTTGTGAGGGCCAGACTGAGCGCACAGTCGACCAAATTTGCTCCAGGAGCCACCGAGGTAGGCGAGAGAGCTGTCGCAGGCGAGCGAAGTGTCTCATCTGAAGAACTGTTCACAGGTCAAGTTAGCAGATCCCTATATTGACTCTGCAGGGTGTTTTTGAGAATTCTAACAAAACACCCTGAAAAAAGAGAGCCGTCGTAGCCGAGCGAAGTGCCTCATCAAAAGAACTGTTCACAGGTCGAGTCGGCACGTCCCTCTACTGCCGAACTTACCGCGCAACCGACTGATTTGCTCCAGGAGCCGCCGAGGTAGGCGAGAGAGCCGTCGCACGAGAGCGACGTGTCGTGGAATGCCGAGCGACCGAGCACTCTCACGACGTCCTTTCCACCAACCATGTGCTTTCCCGCCAAAACTCTCAGAAGAGTCGTCTTGCCTGCGGAGAGGCAGAGACGAGGGGGAAAAGAGAGGATTTGCAAGATGGACGGCCTGGATTAACTACACGCAAGGGAAACGGGAACGGAAGAAGAGATGGAAACTACAAGGGAAGGGGGGTTACCTGCACCGTTGGCTCCGATCAGAAGGCAGCGGCTGCCTCGTGGCAGTTTAAGATTGAACTTGGAGATTAAGGGAGGCTCGCCGGGGTAAGCGAATTGCATCGAAGTGACCTCCACAGCCGGTACGTCAGGCGTCCCCTTATCGCGCGAAGCTACAGTTTCCATATCGACGATCGCGGATTCTGAAGGCTACTTGCTTCGTCGCGGCCGTTACACAGTGGGAGACAAGGAGAGAAGTTGTTACTAAGTAGCCTTGCAAGTAGTTTTAACTGGAGTCGTTGAACTGAAGGTCAACTATAGGAGTAATTACTGAGTTATGTGGAAGTAACTACATTAGGCTGAGGGCGAGAGGCTGATGATCCTTAGGCTGTGCCCTAGATGTCGTCACTGAAGGGAGGGTGAATTTGGCGGGAAACCCAAAAAGCTGACAACTGAACCCAGCCTTGATGTTGCCGCGTGGTCCTGGGCCGTGCTCCTCCTGCTTGCGGCCTGGGCTGTGCGACGTGGCGACGTAACGACGCGTCGTAGCGATGTGTCGACGTCTCGTCGACGCTGTCGCAGACGTGTCGGTTGCTTTGACGACAACCAGTAACGTTTCCTAAATTGGTGGCTTATAAGCATCCTCGATTGGGAACTGCTGGGAGTTCAACAACAGCGTTCAAAACTACAAAACGACGGAAACAAAGGCTGGGTTCTGCAGGCAGTGGAGTAGGCGGCGGAGGTGAAGTTCAGGAAGTAGCCTTGTCATTTCGCATGTAGTGGTAACCACCCAGCCCATTTGTGGCCTTCCCAAACCACACCGTGAAGCTGCGCAGGCAAATTGGGGAAAGCACGTTAGTGATTTCGACAAGGGAACGTTTTTGCGGGCTGACCCGGGTTCTGGACCAAAAAAACGTTGATGCGGAAGCTTCTGAACGCGACTCAAAACCTTCCAAATTTGCTTGCAGAACGCAGCCGAAAACAGCACAGAGATTCCCTTCCTGGAAGTTTCCAGGAAGGCGAAACGAAGCGAGTGACGCCCTTTTCGAGCCTTCTAGAAGCGCGCTGCGCTGCTGATTGAGATTCGAGCCAACAGTGCAACGCCGCACGTCGCGCGCACGCACTCAACTGGTGGAGTGGTTGAGAATCGCGCGTGAGCGTGGCACGTGGAATCCAAGGCACCCTCGGACCCACCTCTTCACTCAACCCCGCCGCCAAAAAGGAGCCCCTTCTGTTGGGAAGCAAGCATCCCTTCAAATAGCAACCGCTTTTCTATTTTCGAAATCCGATTTCTTCAGCTCGCTCACTAGTTTGCAAGTAATTGTGCAATTGAACTAGAGCTATCACGCAACGACCTATCTTTCATCCCTTTTGTGTTCGACGACAAGCAATGGCCCCCCCTACCTGCACCTGCGGCGAGGCCTGCACCTGCACCGCGGAGAACTCCCCCTGCGGGTGCAAGACCGCTGCTGCCGCTACCTGTAGCTGCGGCGAGGGCTGCACGTGCACCGCGGAAAACTCCCCCTGCGGCTGCAAGTCCGCTGCTGCTCCCGCTGCCGGCGCCACCTGCAGCTGCGGCGCTGGTTGCACGTGCACTGCGGAGAACTCCGCTTGCGGGTGCAAGACAGCGGCTGCCAGTGGCTGCGGCTGCGCGAGCGGCGGCGAGTGCAAGTGCGGCAGCAGCTGCACGTGCTCCAAGTGCTAAAGCGTTTCCTCTCCTCAGAGGCAGTAGCAAGCGGTTTTTTGGCCAACGTCGCTGATTACTCTCTGATTCCTCGAGCATGTGTTCGGCAGCTCCATAGTTCTAGCCAGTTGACAGCAACTAGTACATTCGTGGTGGATGCATTGAAGTTTCTGCGTAGCGTGTTTCAATGTACAAAGTGTCGTTAACTCTTATGTATTCCTGGTCCCTTGTCAACTAAACCACAATGACACAAATGTCTATAGGCGATAGCATAAACTGGAGAATGTTGAATGGGAATATCCGGTGTAACACTAGCACGGAACTCAAACAAACAAGTAGAATAGTTTCATGTAAGCAGCGTCTTCTTGATGGCAGTAGAGTAGAGCTGGAAAAACTGCAGTATCGTCAACTGATGCTGTATCTGTCCATTGAAAAATGCAGAGAGAATTCGTTCACCTGATACAACTCTGGCATACGAACTGGCGAGCATGAGTTGAGCTCTGTAGGTACCACGTTACCAGCCTCGACATGCTCGACAGAAAATTCCCCGTGTTAGGTCGGGAATGTTCCCATATCGAACGTGGCGATTGCGACGTGGTGACTGAGACATGGCTCTGAGACAAGCAGTGCGAGGTCCTCCATAGCATGGCTGGCACTACGGCTGCGAATCAGCGCTGAGGTATTATAGGAATGGTTTCTGCGAGAGCCAAACTTACCGCACACCCGACCGATTTGCTCCAGGAACCGCCGAGGTTTGCGAGGGAGCCATCGCAGGAGAGGGATGTGTCGTGGAAGGCAGAGCGGCCGAGCACCCTCACGATGTCCTTTCAAAGGCAGTTCGTAGACCATGTGCTTTCCCGCCAAAATTCCCAGAAAGGAAAGAGAGTTACCTGCACCGTTGGGTCTAATCGGAAGGCTGCGGCTGCCACGTGGCAGTTTAAGATTGAACTTGGAGATTAAGTGAGCTCGATGGGACAAGCGAATTGCATGACGACGAGACTTCCACGGCGGGGCTGTCGGGAGTCCCCCCATTGCGCGACCCTACTGCTTCCATGACGACGAGGTCGGATTCTAAGCGCTGAACTTCGTCAGTCGCGGCCGAAACACAGCGGAAAACAAGGAGTGAAGTCTCTGCCACGATAGGCGGGACCCTACGACTTGCGCGATCAGTTCGAGAACTGGAATTGCAACACATGTAAACGAAAAAAGCTCAAGGAATGTGCAAGCCACTAACTACTACCAGTGCCAGCAGTTGGCCTAAAAATATCACCTACACGGCGATGATCGCTAGGCTGCTGCTTCCCTTGATGTGAACTGAATGGAAAGGTGAATCTGGCGGGAAACCGAAGCTGGTAACCTACGCTCGCCTTGATGTTGCCTGGGCTGTGCGACGTGGCCTGGCGATCTTTTCGCCACTCCTCGTTGCCCTCGCAAGCGTGTTGATTCGTTCTCACGACAACAAGTAACGTTACGAGTTCAGGCTTTCAAAAGAGCGGCTTAAAAGCTTCCTCGATTCGAAGACAGGAAACGACGCGCGTTACAATACAGGTGATCCAAACACACAATACATTTTCCTCGTAGGCTCCTCGAAGGCACGAGGAAAACGGGAATACCCACTTTCGAACTTTCTAGAAGCGCGCTGCGCTCATGATTGAGCGTGCCAACAGTGCAACGCCGCACGTCACACGGACGCACTTGGCTGGTGGAGTGTGTGCGGTGACGTGAGCGGTGACGCGTCCAAGCCAAACTGCCGCCAAAACCGAGCCACACTCCCCCAAAACCAGTGCCGGTTCGGTTAGGGCCAGACCTTCAAATACCAGTTGCTTTTCCATTTTCGACATTTGATTATCTCTGCTCACTCGAACTTCCAAAGCTACCACATAGACTGCTAAATCTGCTCTCTCTGAAGTCATCACGCAACGACCTATCTTTCAGCCCTTCTTCGTTTATTTTTCAACAACCACAATGGCTCCCACCACCTGCACCTGCGGCGAGGCTTGCACCTGCACTGTTGAGAACTCCCCTTGCGGATGCAAGTCCGCTGCAGCCGCTACCTGCAGCTGCGGCGAGGGCTGCACGTGCACCGCGGAAAACTCCCCCTGCGGCTGCAAGTCCGCTGCTGCCCCCGCCGCTGGCGCTACCTGCAGCTGCGGCGCTGGTTGCACGTGCACTGCGGAGAACTCCCCTTGCGGATGCAAGACCGCTGCTGCCTCTGGCTGCGGCTGCTCGAGCGGCGGCGAGTGCAAGTGCGGCAGCAGCTGCACGTGCTCCAAGTGCTAAGGCGCTCTGTTGAAAGCGGCGGCGTTTCCGTTGCAATAGGCCAACGACAGGCGGTTCCATTCGCCAAGCGACAAGGCCGCGGGTTACCCTTCGATTTCCTCACGCATTTGTCTGGCAGCTCCGTGGTTCCATGGCAGCTATTTTCGCGGCAAAAGTGTTGGAATCCATCTGTAGTTTGTTCGAATGTACAAAGCATCGTTGACTCTCTTTTTTCCCCTGGGTATCGTCCTCTGAATCACTCTGGCTCACAATGCCTGGATGCATCTACCGGAGAACCATTGACCCTCTAGGCTGGTCGACTGGGGAGGTCACTCTTTTCTATGGTGATCCGTAGCAGATCTGTCGCGAAACTGAAACCACTTTTCTAACAGTTCCTATCGATGAGGAACACAGGACAGGAATCATAAGTACCACGTGAAACAACTTTGGGCGATCTGTTAGCAGCAAGGTGAAGCTGTCTATTCCGTCTAGAAACATTCTCACAAACCGATACGCATTATGAGGAACGCCGCTTCTTAGTGACGCATTTACCACCTGGATTCACTCGAAGTTCAAGGGCGCGATATTACCAGCTAAGGAAACCCAACTGTTTCGTAGCTGCAAATAAGGCCGTTGTGATCTATCCACAACATTGTCTAATTTTCTGATCCTCTTTCTTACACTGGGAACGGTATTGGTTATCACAACAGCCTTCAAATTGTTGTTACCCCAGGAAAAATAATATCCTCATTTGACTGGACAAAATCACTAAACCCTAATAACAGATTTAGTGTCTATTAACTTAAACAATACACGAACACGGCGGCAACTTCCATGGTTATCACTTGATGGGCGATTCCTGGATCACAGACGATCAATGCCAGATGACAGTACCGGTGTCATCTTCACGTCACACGCACTGGTGGAGTTGCTATTCCTCGACCTGCAATGAACAGAAGAAACACAGATCCGGCGTCAAAACACCAACTAGGTACCGAAGCCAACGATCCATGCCATTCCACATTCAGGATGCGATGTACGGGCTATTTTGACACGGAGTCACACACGAAAAAAGTCGTTACTCCGCAACACGAAGCACCGAGTAGCTCTCGCACAGTCATGGGACCGAAACTTCATCAGATATCAGCTCAGCCCAGGGGGGAGTTAAGTGACTGTGCTCATGAAAACACTACCGTAGGAAGTGGCATGTGCGTAAAACACGGAAACAAAAAACGAGAATGCGTGACAAAGTCCGTAAGCAACGCAGCCTTGGGATTGGAAAACGACGCGACGAACAAGAGACAGCTGGCATCAGATTGTCAGAGGTGTAAGGTTGTTTCAGCACGGATCATGGATCCGATCAGAGTGTAGCATAAGTGATATTCAAGGTCGCATCATATGCCAGCCATTGACCAAGAAAAGCCTGTAAAGCTCAGAATGAAATGAACGTGGCATGGCAAAAGGAAACACAAACCCACCTGTCGTAAAAAGCCATGGCCGCGGAGAGATCTGGAAGCGAGAACGCCTGGGCGTGTGAAGCTAACACCCCCGAAGGGAGCGTTTTGCCGGATGCCCAATAGTTGGCCGATTCGTAACTACTGGTCAGTCAATCGGCGGGTTTTAGCCGGCAGGCGACGTAACGGCATGAAGCTTCTCCCGGCGCTGGTCCCAGGCCGAAAATTCGAGACCGAGTCATTTTCTGCTCCCTTAACGTGTAACCCCGGGACTGCTGAAGCTTTCATCTCCCCTTCCGTTGCTTAGGGAACAGCCAGATGACGACGGCTCCATGCCTTTCCAGCGTATGGACGCATCGTTGACGCCATAATTCCAAACGCAGGAATATAGGCAAACGTAGGGAAACAGGCTGAACGCTCTGAAGTCAGCGGAAAAATCCAAGCACTCAGGCAAATGCTGCAATCGAAACGTGAGATGGAGAATTGTGAGACTTTCCAGCTGGGGATTTATGGTGGAGAAGTGAGAGGAGGCTGGGGGAAAGCACGGGAGCCGCGGAAGCAGCGCATCCCGCCAAAGGGCAAAAGCAAACTCGGGCGCGCACAATATTTGCGGGGTTTAGGGGAAAACGAGTGGGTTGCGCACAAAATAGAGAGGCTCCCGTTGGGGCGGTGATGTGGCTGGAGGGGAGCGCTCGGGGTGCGGAATCGGAATGACAGGAAAGCCAGGGTTTTGGGGGGTGAACCGACAGTTTTGGGGGATGAGCCGACAGGGTTTTGGGGGATCTTACGTACCACTTGCTTCTCTTGTAAGCACAAATGTATGCAATGTTGATGACAAAAAATACCAAATTCAAACATCTACATGAAAAAACATGTGAATTCGTTGTTTCCACTTGGCTACTCGTCACTACGAGCCACAGCTTCAAACATCAGGCCGTTGACGAATTGATGATCCAAAATTCCTAACAATGTTCACTAGACAATTTGATCACCTCACTACTTAGCCTTGCCCTTCCCTTTGCCCCCAGGCAATGGGGCAAGGCCCCCTCCCAACCCTAGAGGCGCCCCCCCTTGACTCGCTTCTCCATTTGCTGTGGCTGCTGCTGCTGCAGGCTTGCTCGTTCCTGCTGCTGCACCTTTCTTCCCTGCTGCTTTAGTGGGAGGGGGGGCTCCTGAAACCGCACCAACACCCACACCCAGACCCACCCCACCAAGCCCAGCAGGCGCTGCTGAACCACCAGCCGAAACTGCTGCCGCACCTCCTGCCGAGCCTGCTGCCGCACCTGCCTTCGCAGCAGATGAGCTGCCAGCACCGGAAGAGGCAGGCGATGTGCTATTAATGAAATTAATGAGCTCCTCTACATCCATTGCACTCGGCCCACTACCTCGGCCCCCTGCCGAACCTGCAGCTCCTCGCAGGTTCACCCCCCGAGCTGCCGCTTTCCGCCGAGCCTCCGCCGCTGCCCTGGAAGCCCGCTCGTCCACACCTCTGGCCCGGATACCCGTGCCGGAGGAGCCAGTTGCTCCCAGGCCTCCGCCGAACCTGCCAGCGCCAGCTCCGGGAGCAGGTGGGGGGACCTCTCCCCGAAGCAGAGCGTCAGCCACGGCACGCTGGTAGGAGGTGGAGCCGCCTGCCCCGGGCGCTGCTGCTGCCTGCAGCACCTGAAGCAGCTCCGGCCGTTGCTGGTGAAGGAATGAGGGAAGGGAGAGGGGAAGGAAAGTGAGGGGAGGCGTGCATCTAAACAGAAACAAAACCTGTTAGACAATTCCTGAAGGCGCGGGTCATCTGGGTGATGCAGCCACCTACAACGGCACAGAAGCCCTGCGAATTCAGCCCTTGCGACCAAATGGCAACAAGTGTATTTTGAGTCGACTCAATATACACGAGCACCAGTACTGCAACTGGAAGAAGAGCCGTGAACTCAACCCTTGCGACCAAATGGCAACAAGTGTGAAGAAGGTTGGAAACTCTTGATGCAGCGTTGGGAGGTTCACAGTACCTTGAGAGCTTCGGCCACGCGGAGAGCAGCCGCTTGCTGCTGTTGGACTGTTGCTGCTGATTGCCCCGCCTTCTGCTTCTGCGCCTGGCGAGAGAGAGTGAAAGAGAGAGAGAGAGAGAGAGAGAGAGAGAGAGAGAGAGAGAGAGAGAGAGAGAGAGAGAGAGAGAGAGAGAGAGAGAGAGAGAGAGAGAGAGAGAGAGAGAGAGCGAGTGAGTAACAGGGATGGACGAGAGCAGAGGGAGAAGCAAGAGGGGGCTGGGGGGGAAACGAGAAGACTGGGTTCTGCTTCTCCAGGTCACAAGAGTTTACCACAACCCAGTCAACCTGGAGGGTGGACAGATATGACACACAGCTGACCATCCTCCCAGTTGACCAACCTCCCAGCTGACCATCCTCCCACTCACCCTGAGCTCCCTGTCCAGGCACGACTGCACCCACTGCTCCGACTCCTTGGCGCTACTACACTTGTGCACAGACATGCACATTCATACGCAGACACACACATGCAAGCACATTCCCACTATTCACGTTCACCACTCACCCTGACCTCCCTGTCCAGGCACGACTGCACCCATTGCTCCGACTCCTTGGTGCTACTTGAGCGATCCACCGAAACGCACCGGAACACACTCATCGTTCATACAATATCCCCCCCCCCCCAATCCACCAGTTCACTGCACTCACCCTGAGCTCCCTATCCAGGAACGACTGCACCCACTGCTCCGACTCCTTGGTGCGTGCATCCTCCTTGCCCAGCGCCTTCTCAAACACCGCCTGCGCCTTGCGCTCCTCCTGTCGGCACCAGGAAAGAGGTGCCACAGGGCGGGCAGTGGGGGGGGGGGGGGGGGGGGGGGGGGGGGGGAAGGAAAGATAGGAAGGGTTGAGTGGAAGTGCTTGGTGCGCATCCTCCTTGCCCAGTGCCCTCCCAAACGCCTGTGTGCCTTGCACTGCTCCTGTCAGCACCAGGGAAGAGGTGCCACAGGGCAGGCGGGGGAGGGGGGGGTGGGGGGGGGGGGTGGGAGAGAGGGGAAGAGAAGATAGGAAGGGTTGAGTGGAAGTGCTTGGAGCGCATCCTCCTTGCCCAGTGCCTTCCCCAGCGCTCGTGTGCCTTGCGCTCCTCCTGCTGAAGCAACGAGTGCTACATCCCCTAAGCCCCAAGCCACCCCCTAAGCCCCACCGCCACCCCCTAAGCCCCAGCGCCACCCCCTAAGCCCCACCGCCACACACCTGTAAAGCGAGCTTGACCGCATCCTTGGAGGAGAGCGCCAAAGCCAGCACGAGGTATCACCTGGCCACCTGCACGTGGTTCTCCCCCAGCAGCTTCCCACTCAGTCTCAGCTTATGCACCCTTCAATTCTAAACCCTGAACGCAACTGCAGGGCGAGCTTGAATGCGCCCTGGAGGAGAAGGCGAGGGCGAGCACGTGGTGGCACACTGCCACCTGGATGTACGTGGTTCTCCTCTCCCCCAGCAGCTTCTCACTCACTCGCACCAACTACACACTACCCCCAAACCCCAAAACCACCCCCCAAGCCAACCTCTAAGCCTCAAAGCCACACGCACCTGCAAGGCGAGCTTGAAGGCGCCCATGGAGGAGAAGGCGAGGGCGAGCGCGTGGTGGCAGACGGCCACCTGCACGTGGTTCTCCCCCAGCAGCTTCTCACTCACTCGCACCGCCTCCTGCAGATACTTCATCGCGTTCTGCAGCTTGCCCATGTCCTGGTGAAAGCGGGGGGAGGAGGAGGAGGTTTGGGAGGGTGAAGGAAGGAGCATGGCCGGGCTGTGGAAATAGCACCTCCTCCTGGAGATAAATGACCTGGCCACGTCCACAATGGCAGGCTCAAACAATGGGCAAATACGAGCCACGTCCACTCATACTCCACACGACATGTCTGTCCTTTTAACAAGCTGAAACGCCATGAAGATGTTGCACTGTGTGCACATTGTCCATACCTGGTAGGTGAGGGCGATGTTGACGAACAGTGACGCCACCTCCGGGTGGTCGTTGCCAGCGGAGAGTGAGAGCAGCTGCAGGGTGCGCTTGAAGTGGCGCAGCGCGAGCTCGGACTCGCCCATGGCGTGGAAGTAGAGGGCCATGTTGCCGTAGCTTGTGATTGAAGGGTGTGAGGGGGGGGGAAGGGGGAAATAGAGGTAATGAGTCATGAATGCGCTTCAAGAGGCGCAGGGTGAGCTCCGACTCGCCCATGGCGTGGAAATACAGGGCCATGCTGCCGTAGTTGGTGAGATGAGGGTTTGGGGGGAGGGGAGGGAGGGAGAGGGGGGGGGAAGGGAATATAGACAATCAATCACTCAGGAGTATGTACTATACCATGGCATACCATGCCAGGCCATAGCATGGCATGTGACATGGGGACGGTGGCGAATATGGCATGGCATGGCACGGTAAGCAGCATGGTATGTGCCAGGGGAAGAGAGGCGGGCATGGCATGGGGGGCCATGGTCACCGGGTATCCCATGAGATGCTGTTGGTGGACAGACTGACCAGACGCACATGGGAGAGGTGCGCCCGGCTAATTTGCCACCATTTGAGGTTTCTAGGGAGGGGATGGCTCGTCCACGAGAGGACAGATAGGACTCAACGGATAAATGCACACCATATCTGCTGTGGGTGTGAATCAAACCAACCCACCTGTGCGCGTGATAGGAGTCTAGTTTCGAGGCGCCTCAAAACTACAACCCACCAGTGAAGTGTCAGGGTGGTCAGTCCCCACCACCCGCTCGTTGATACTGAGCTCCCTGTGCTGGTTTAGTCATTTGTACCCCTTATAAGCCTACCACATAGAAGACCATGAGTGAGGGCGAGCCTTAACCCACCTGTGGGGTGGTCCGTCCCCTCGACCCGCTCGTTGATGATGAGCTCCCTGTGCTGCTTTTGACTCTCTAGGGACTCACGACTACCCCCCAGTCATGTATGCCCCTTACAAGCCTACCACATAGGCCATGAGAGAACATCAACCCACCTGTGCACGGTGAAAGGGTGGTCTGTCCCCACGACCAGCTCGTTGATAATGAGCTCCCTGTGCTGCAGCAGAATGGCGTTGCCCCCATGATCATTCCCTTGTATCTTTTCACTCAATACCTTGTAGCTTTACACGGGTAAAGACCTTGTAGCTTTACACGGGTAAAGACCTTGTAGCTTTACACGGGTTAAGACCTTGTAGCTTTACACGGGTAAAGACCTTGTAGCTTTACACGGGTAAAGACCTTGTAGCTCTACACAGGTAAAGACCTTGTAGCTTTACACGGGTAAAGACCTCGTAGCTTTACACGGGTAAAGACCTTGTAGCTTTACACGGGTTAAGGCCTTGTAGCTTTACACGGGTAAAGACCTTGTAGCTTTACACGGTTAAAGAGCCTCACCTGTGCACGGTGTCGGGGTGGTCCGTCCCCACGACCCGCTCGTTGATAATGAGCTCCCTGTGCTGCTGCAGAATGGCGTTGCCCGTCTCGCCCGCGTGGTAGAAGATCAGCGCCAGGTACCTGGCACGTTAGGAGTGAACGAATGGGGGGGAGGGGGTTTACAGGGGTGCAAGTGGGTGTGAGTGGGTGATCGGAACGAGGAGAGTTGACTCATGCGTTGCCCGTCTCGCCCGCACGGTAGAAGATCAGCGCCAGGTACCTGGCAGGCGAAAGGGAGGGGGGGCGAAGGTGGGTGGGGGGGAGGGAGGGGGAGGGGCGGGAGGTGGGGAGAAAAAGGGGCTAGGGGATCAGGGATGGCTATCTGGAAACAGCAGTAACGCAGGCAGATGGAAGAAGGGGAGAGGTGGTGAGATGGGGGGAGAAGGGCACCGCGAGAGGGTTGAGGCACAAGGGACACGATAAGAGACAACTGAAGGGATTATGCTGGTGGAGAGAGGATGTGAGAAGGGAGTGCAGCGGGGAAGGGGAGGTAGACAGGGAGGGAGGGAGGGAGGGAGGGAGGGAGGGAGGGAGGGAGGGAGGGAGAGGTGGACAGAGCATGAATAGCTGGTGAAGGGCAGAGGAGCATACCGCGTGATAGGAGTCTAGTTTTGAGGCGCCTCAAAATATCTGGTGAAGGGCAGAGGAGCATACCTGCAGCATGTAGCAACGTCCAGGTGAAGCGGCCCGCACACCTGGAGGGAGATGAGGAGAGAGTAGAGGTGAGGCGGGAAGGGAGGTGAGGAGAGAGCGGAGGTGAGGAGGGAAGGGAGTTGAGGAGAGAGGGGGCGGTGGGAAAGAAGCCGGGGCAACATACAATGCGTGAGGAGTCTTTTTTTTAGGCGCCTCAAAAATAGACTCCTCACGCGGGGCGGTGGGAAAGAAGCCGGGGCAACATACAAAACATGAGCCTCGGGTAAAAAAGGGAGAGTGCTCAATTTACCTGCTGAAAGGATCTGAAACATGTCACAAACATGCCACTAACATGTCACTAAAATGTCACCAAACATGTCACTATCATGTCACTAACATGTCACTAACATGTCACTAACATGTCACTCACTAACATGTCACCAACATGTCACCCAACTGCTGCAAAATCTGCCAGGCCTCGCCTAACTCAAGGCCTGACCACTCCTTCCCTTCCCGCAATACCTATTCCCCTTCGTCCTTTAATACCCACCTGCTGCAGAATCTGGTGAGCCTCGCTCAGGATCTCAAATAGCACATTGATAGTCGCCAAGAGCTCCCAAAGCCTTCAAAGAGCCCAAACCTTCCCCCCCCCTGTTCCCTTCCCCCCCTTAATCCCCCCTGTTTTCTTCCCCCCCTTCCTCCCCCCAGTTCCCTTCTCCCCCTTCCTCCCCCCAGTTCCCTTCCCCCCCTTCCCCCCTTCCCCCCCTTCCCCCCCCCCCCAGTTCCCTTCACCCTTCGTCTCACCTGCTGCAGAATCTGGTACGCCTCGCTGAGGATCTCAAACGCCGCGTTGAGAGTGGTTTCGTGCTCCCGGAGCCACTGCCCGCTCTGGGGCGTGGCGGAGAAGCGCGGGCGCAGGGGCAGACCGACCTGCAGGGATGTGAGGACGGGTAAAGGAGTGGGATGTGGGGGATGCGAGTATGTGAGACGAAACAGGTCCTTCCTCCCAGTGCTTCTGCCCACTCTGGGTCTGGGGGGTGGCAGAGAATAGTGGGTGGCATGGCATGGCATGGCATGGCATGGCATGGTAAGCATGGTATGTGCCAGGGGAAGAGAGGCGGGCATGGCATGAGAGGCCATGGTCACCGGGTATCCCATGAGATGCTGTTGGTGGACAGACTGACCAGACGCACATGGGAGAGGTGCGCCCGGCTAATTTGCCACCATTTGAGGTTTCCTGAAACATTACCCACCCTGAAACCTTTCCCACCCTGATTTTGGAGGCTCTTCCTCGTCTCCAGGACCTTCTGTGCGCCACTTTGAGGTGCCTCAAAAGCGCATGATAGGAGTCTCTTGAGGCGGATCAAAAGCGCTGACAGGAATCTAATTTTGACACGCCTCAAAACTACCCACCACCCCCCTTCCCCCTCACCTTCTGAACAAGGCTCTTCCCCTTCTCCAGCAGCTTCTGCGCATCGTTGCACGCGGGCGAGGCGAACTTGACTTGGGGCAGCAGGTCGCACACGTCAGCAATGGCGATGGGGACGTCGCACTCGAGGTTGTAGTCCTTGGCTGCCAGGACTATGCCCATCTGGGGGTGGAGAGAACCCAGCAGAGAGATCAGGAAGAAGCCGAGGGTTTTGAAGTGCCTCTGAGACACCTTGCATCTCTGAGGCCAGCATTTTGTGTGAAGACGAGCAGAGGAGGGATACAGAGACGAGGAGAGGAGCGTGGAGAAGGTGGAGAGGGAGGGGGAGAGGGGGGGAGGGAGGGGGAGAGGGGTGGAGGGAGGGGGAGAGGTGGGGAGGGAGGGGGAGAGGGGGGGAGGGAGGGGGAGGGGGGGAGGGAGGAGGAGAGGGGTGGAGGGAGGGGTAGAGGGGTGGAGGGAGGGGGAGAAGGCGGGAGGGAGGGGGAGAGGGGTGGAGGGAGGGGAAGAGGGGTGGAGGGAGGGGGAGAAGGCGGGAGGGAGGGGGAGAGGGGTGGAGGGAGGGGAAGAGGGGTGGAGGGAGGGGGAGAAGGGGGGAGGGGGGGGGCAGTGCAAGTCACGCACACACACCCCATGACACGTGTCCCCCTTGCCCTCACTAGTCCTGCATATCAGGGAGTGTTTTGTATTTTAGAATTATCAAGAACAAGAGACTTGTTCCCATTTTACCTCACGAGTCCTGCATCTCAGGGAGACCTTGAGGCAGATGCTGCGCAGGGTTGCGAGGCTGCGAACCACAGTGTGCCATCCTTTTGCACAAGCACGTCCCGTGTAACACATGCCACAGGCGCTGATCACCTCGAGGCAGATGTTGCGCAGGGCTGCGAGGCTGCGAACCATAGCTTGTCTTCTTGTCTGCTCTAGCAAGTCACGTATTACACACACCACGTGTTACCACGTGTCACGCATGACACAGGCGCTGCTCACCTTGAGGCAGATGTTGCGCAGAGTTGCGAGGCTGCGGACCATCTTGCGCGTTTCAGGGGGGATCTCGAACTGCAGAGGGGAGAAGCGGGTGGGGCAAGGAGGAGTGGGAGTCAGGGAAGGGAGGAGTGAGATGGAAAGAGAGAAACCTAGATCGAATGAAATGAAAAGAGATGCAAGGGTGTGAAGCCTGTGGGCAGCGCGGGTTTTTTTTTTGGATTCTCAAAAACATCGAAACTGGCGGAATCATCGAGCTGCAGAGGGGAGAAGCGGGCGGGGCCAGGAGGAAGGGGAGGAAGGGGAGGAAGGGGCGAGAGAAACCAAGATCGAATGAAAAGAGGTGCAAGATTGAGAAGCCTGCCAGTTGCAAGAAGTCTATTTTTGAGGCGCCTAAAAAATGAGCAGAGATGGACTGAAGGGTGAGAAGCCTGCCAGCTGTGCGGCCACATGCGCACTTTTCGGGCGGTGTGTGTGAGAGGCATGTGTCACCTGGTATTCGTTTGTACTTGACTCCCCCAGTTACATCAGACCAAAGCATGTCCGATGGGATTCAAATGGCTTTCCTACCTTACCGCAGCTTACCCTTCATCCAACCCGCTCAGTACATAGTCTCACGTGTTTGCGAGCTGACTCAAAAGTCAGCTCCTTGCCGCAGCCTACCCTTCCGCTCAGTACCTAGTCCCACCTGCTTGCACCGCTTCGAAGAAGTCATTCCCATCCAGCCACTCGTCAGCCGGCTCTCTAATCTCACCTGGTACTTGTACTTGACCCCCTCAGTGATGTCAGACCACACCATATCCGCCGTGATGCGAGTATACCCCGGCACATCCACCACATACAGAAACGCCTCCTTCTTCTCCTCCCCTTCCTTCCCGCCCTCCCCTTCCTTCCTCTCTCCTCCTGCCGCCCCCGCTCCCCCCTTGTTCTTCCGCTTCTTCTTCCCGCCGCCGCCCGCGGCGCCGCCCTCGGTTTTGTCCGCATCCCCGATGCCGGGGAGGGTGGGCGGCGGGGTAGTGGTGGAGGTGCCGAGGAAGCAGTTGAGGAAGTGGGCGATGGCGCCCCCCACGTCCTGCTCCAGGGTCTCACGCAGGACCGCCTTGAGCACGTGCTTGGTGGCTCGGACCACCATCTCTGCCACGCACAGCCAGTAGACCTGCTCCACGTCAGCAACCTCCTTGGCAACCTGGACAGGTGGGGGGGGAGAAACGGAAGGGGGGAGGAAGGTGAAAGGGTTTGAGGCACTTAGGGAAACGTGGAGGATGGGAGGAGGAGGAGGAAGGAAGGCGAGCACAGGGGAAACGGGTAGTTAGACACCAATCACAGGTACAAAAGAAACCGAATCCTTGCCAATCAAGCACACTCCACGCACACACCACGCACACACCACGCACATACAAGCAATAACATCCGTGCACTGTGACTCACCCGCCCCAGGTATCGCAGGTTGACGCCATGGGCATGCATGGTGCTTGCCAGGGCCCGGCCATCCACGGGCCACCCCTCCGTGCTCTTGATGTCCGCCACCAGGGCAGGCAGCGCCGTCTCTATGAGGTACTTCCCTGCCTTGCGCACCAACGCCTCGTCCTCCTCCACCTCCTGTGGTTTGTACAATATGGGAGGAATGGGAGGCAGCAAATTGTGTGAGCTAAAGTCGAACCCACACTCAGTCACTCACACTCACACTTGTGCACTCTCACACTCGCACTCACCTTGGGGTCATCCGACAGCTTGAACTCAGTGAGAGCGTTGGGATTAAACACCACATCCGGCAGCTCGCCCTTCTCCCTCAGCGCCTCCACCTCCTCTGCGGCCGGCCGCTCCGTCACGCCCTTCGCCTGCATCCACCGCTCCACCTGCTCCTCCTGGCAAAACTTCTCCACCAGCTCTGGGCGCAGGATGGCCAGGCGGTTGGCGGCGTTGGCTGTTGCCTCTGTGCTGGTGGTGGTCGTAGTAGCGGTGAAGTTGGCGTCGCGGGGGGTGAGACGGATCAGATCCAACAGGTACTTCCTGTGGGGGAAAGGAGATTGGGGAAAGGGGTCAAAGCAAGAGGGAGAAGGCGCATTTTGAGATGCCTGAGAACCAGACCCCCTCCCTTCTCCTGCATTCACAACCAGCATGCTGTATCCCCACACCACACCCGCCTGTCGTCGCTGCCCAGAATTATCTTGGTCTCCTTGCTCTTGGTCGCCACAGGCAAGAACAGCGTGGCCTCCTTGCCCTCTCCGTCCGTCCATCAGGCCGACCCAATCAAACCGGCATTCTCCCATTTTATTCCAAAACCCTACACCCCGACAAACCTCCAACCAAACCCCCACGCCCTCTCCCCCCCTGCACGCACCTGTCATCGCTGCCCAAGATCCCCTTGGTCTCCACGGGCGAGCACAGCGTGGCCTCCTTGCCCTCTCCGTCCGTCACCTTGTGCTCCTTGAGCCGCAGCACCTTGCCCAGCTCCGCCACCTGGATGGTACGAGCAGGAAGCGGGGGGGGGGGGGGGGGAAACAGGGTCACAGGGGGATCGTGACACGAGAGTCAATTCTGAGATCGCCCAGACCAGCGGAAAGGGTCCCTTGCCCTCTTTGCCCGCCACCCTGTGCTCCTTGAGGCCCAGACCAGCAGAAAGGGTCCCTTGCCCTCTTTGCCCGCCACCCTGTGCTCCTTGAGCCTCAAAAACGCCTGGGATGGACGGAGAGCAGAGTTTGCCTAGCTCCGCTACCTGGGATGGCAGAAGGGGCAGGGGACGTGGAAAGCAGGAGTTTCCCTTCCACAGAAAGCCCATGCGGAGGAGGGATACGCACGCCACAAAAAAACCCGCTGATTGAGATGAAAACGGGGGAGGGATATGCATGCAAGCCCGTATCCACGGACCCCATAGCGCATCTGACTGGTACCTTGACATGCGCATAAGCGCACAAGCCCGTATCTGACCCCATAGCGCATAAGGCCTTAACCCCTCCCCTCCTCTCCATCTACCCACACACGCACACCACCAGCAATACACACCTACCACCCGCGCTCAAACCACCAGCCAAGAACGCACCTTCAGGTAGAAGGAGTCGCCCCACTTGATGGTCTTGCCCGTGTCCACCGACCGAACCACACATCATCTGACCCGCACCTCAACATGCCTTCATCCCTCCCCTCTTTCTCCATATACGTACACACGTGACACACCCCAACCAGCAACGCACGCACACCACCAGGCGGAAACCCACCTTGGGGTGGAAGGAGTCGCTCCACTTGATGGTCTTGCCCGTGTCCACCGACCGAACCACACATCATCTGACCCGCACCTCAACATGCCTTCATCCCTCCCCTCGTTCTCCATATACGTACACACGTGACACACCCCAACCAGCAACGCACGCACACCACCAGGCGGAAACCCACCTTGGGGTGGAAGGAGTCGCTCCACTTGATGGTCTTGCCCGTGTCCACCGACCCCTACAGCATCTGATCAGTACCTGGTGATTCCCTAACCCCTCCCCTCACACACACACACACACACACACACACACACACACACACACACACACACACACACACACACACACACACACACACACACACACACACACACACACACACACACCTCAACCCGGAAAACGCACCCACTACCCGCGCTCACTCCACCAGCCAATAACCCACCTTGGGGTGGAAGGAGTCGCTCCACTTGATGGTCTTGCCTGTGTCCACCGACCCGTACAGCATCTGGGTGGTGCGATCACCATACAGGATGCCGGGGATAATGCTCTGTGGGGGGGGAAAGGGGGGGGGGGGAAAGGGGGGGGGAAGAGGGGGGGGAAGGGGGGGGGGAAAGGGGGGGGAAAGGTGGGGGGAAAGGGGGGAGGGGAGGGGGGTTAAGCCCTGATGTCTCGTCTTTCCACTGGCACACACATCATCTGGGTGGTGCGATCACCGTACACGATGCCGGGGATGGTTTGAGGCGTAGTTCAAAAGCGGTAGTTCACAATGGCCGCTTCTAGTAGATGCTAGATAGAGATATCCGTGTTGTTCGCCCAGTGGCTTCACTGCTCTCCTGTTTAAGCCAACCCACAAGTAACGCGCACCTGAGCAATGACCCTGTGCCCGCGGTAGTCCACAATGGCCATGGCAAGGGAGTAGATCCCGGGAATGTCAGCGTTGTTAACCGCCAGCGTGCCCTTGAGGTCGTTGTTGGACGACGCATAAGTCGCCTGCTCTGCCTCTGTCACCGGCGCCGCTGCCGCTGCGTCCTCCTCGCCCTCCTTCTTCTCTTCTTCCTTCGCCTCGCCCTCCTTCTTCTCCCCCTCCTCCACCTTACCCTCCTCCTTCGCTTCTTTCTTCTCCTCTGCCTTTGCCTCTTCCTTCTTTTCTTCCTTCTTCTCCTCCTTCTCCTTCTCCTTTTTCTCTTTCTTATCCTTCTTATCCTTCTTTCTCCTCTCCTTCTTCTCCTCCTTAGTCTCCTCTTTCTTCTCCTCTTTCTTTTCTTCTTCCTTCGCCTCCGTCTTCCCCTCCTCCTTAGCCCCCTCCTCACCCCCTTCCTTCTTCTCCCCTCCCTCCTCCCCCTTCTTCTCAGCTTCAGCCTCGGCCTGCTGCTTAAGCTCAGCCTCTCTAATCTGCTGCAGGGCCGCGAAGTCCCCGTCCACAGCCAAGGAGAAGAAGATATTATTATGCACGTACATGTGAAACCGGTCCGCATCATGGGGGTTGATCGGCGGGATCGACCGGCCAATCACGGCCTTCGCTCCCCGCACCGCTGAGTCAGCAAACTCGCAGCTCACGCGGTACAGAGCGCGGTCCCTCAGAATCCGATCCTGTAACGAGTTACGCGGTAACTCGCGGCAGCTCTGTAACTCCTCATTCCAGTCACGCAGCACGCCACTGAAATCGATCCCAAAGGGCGCCATAAGGGCGTCTTCTGACCGTGCCACGTCTCGGGTGTACTGTAGCGGGCCCGTGCCGTCCGCGCCGCCCCAGATGGGCTTTGCCGCCCAGTCGTTGGGCGGCAGGGGCGCGAGCATGTTCTCGAAGGGGTGGCGGTTGGCCTTGCGCTCGATCACCTCGGCAAAGGCTGACAAGAGGGAAGAGCGGGGGGGCGGGGAGGGCGGTGGGGGATCAAAACCAGGGGGGCATGGGTTCATACAGTATGCATACTTTGGGGAGTGAGGGGAGGCGCGGGGATGGAGTTAGCCACTGCGGATGGTGGATTCTGAAACGGTTTTCAGTCAGTCAGCTGTAAAAAGGCTGGTGGTAAGAAAACTGGACTACAGTTAAACCCTGAACCCTCGCTAGAGCTCCCAAATTTTCTCCGCGCTGCCTATCATGCGACCACCACACAGCAGGAGATGGGTCGCCGTCCTGTTTCCACTACAAAACAGCGGAAACGGGTGTTTCCCTTTCACCTTTGGAACAGAGCGGACACGCCGCGCGGCGCGTAGTCTGAGCAAACCAATCAGCGTGAGATGCTTCCATCTTGGGGTCGGCAGCAGGCCACGGGTCGATGAGCCTCCTGCTGCTGCCACTGCTTTCACTAGAGTGGCGCCGCAAGCCTTTCGACCTGATGCCCCGCGCTGTAACCCCTCACCTTTAGAGAAGAGCGGGCTCAGCTGCCTGAGCAGCCCAATGAGCGTCGAAGCCTCCACCTTGGGGTCGGCAGGGCGCGGGTCCAGCTTCCTGCCGCTGCCGCTGCGGTTGACAAAGAAGCCCCTCGTGTGCGCCGTCACGCAGAAGAGCTTGCCCTCCGCCGTCACCACCTCCAGGTATATAAGATCGCCCTGCAGCCTGAAACGGAAGGGGGGAGACGGGGAAAGAGCATAATGTCGGTTTGAGGTGAGCCGGTCCGAGCTCTCGAGCCACTGCCACTGGCTCGTCTGCCAGTGCTGGTGACGAAGAACACTCAGGGGTGCGCCGCCACGCAGAAGAGCTTGCTCTCTCTGTTGACACCGCTTTCAGAAACAATAAGTCGCCCTGCAGCAGCCCGGCATGACGCAGAGGGGTTGGGTGGGATTCGACGTGTCGGACGGAAAAAATCTCTCTTCAGTAATCTCACCTCACCTCCTGACCAGGCACCACAGGGGACAACGGGATGCTCTCCACACACACTGGCGAAGCCTCCTCCTCATCCCCCCGAGAAAACGCGATGCTCTCCACACGCACCGGCGCCGCCTCCTCGTCATCTCCCCCTTCCCCTTCACCATCACCTCGAAAACCTTGGCGCAATCTCTAATGCACACACAAAGGAGCTCACCTCCTGGTGCCTTTTGAGTCGATTCAAAAGAAACCTTGCGCAATCTCTAATGCACACACGGAGGAGCTCACCTCCTGGTGCCTTTTGAGTCGATTCAAAAGAAACCTTGCGCAATCTCTAATGCACACACGGAGGAGCTTACCTCCTGGTGACTTTTGAGTCGATTCAAAAGAAACCTTGCGCAATCTCTAATGCACACACGGAGGAGCTCACCTCCTGGTGCCTTTTGAGTCGATTCAAAAGAAACCTTGCGCAATCTCTAATGCACACACGGAGGAGCTCACCTCCTGGGGCCGGGCACAGGGTTGAATGAAGAAAACGCGATGCTCTCGACGCACACCGGTGCCGCCTCTTCATCGCCCCCGCCCTTCACCATCACCTTCGCCAGCACGCCCTTGGGATCGTCGCCCAGCCCCACCCCCTGCTCCAGCGACGCTATCTCCTCCATCCTCGCCTTGCTGCTCGGCAGCTTCGCCTTGCGCTCCTTCTCTTTCTCCTTCTCCCTCCGCTCCCGCTCCTTCGCCTCCTCCTCCTTGCTCTTCCGCCCCTTCCCCTTCTTCCCCTTACTCCTCTTCCACTCCCCGCCCTCCCCCCCCTCCCCGTCCTTCTCCCCATCTTTCTCCCCCTTCTCCCCCTCGCCCTCCTGCCCCTCCCCCTCCTCCTTCTCATCCCCACCTAACTCCCGCTCCGTCGCCAGCCCCTTAACGAGCTCGTATTCCGCCGCCATGGCCGTCGACGCGCTAGAGTACGACCCCGCCATCGATATAAGCTCCCTCGTTTTACGCACGTGCAGCCGCACGGCGCGGTCGTCGTAAAACGTGTTGAACATCTCCAGCAGGCACCCGCCCGCTGCCACGTCAGCAACCTCCCCGATCTCCACGTAGTCCATGAGGTGGTAGCGGAGCCCGTCTGGCTTCGTGAGGATAAGGTCGTACGCGGTATAGAAGCACGTCTCGGGCGCGTCTGCCAGGAACTGCTTCAGGTCCATTACTGTGTCCGCTGGGTTGACCTGAAAGGGGCGAAAGGGGGGGGGGGGGGGGAGGTGGAGGCGCAGGACGGGTGGCGTGGGGGGGAGGGGGGAGAGGGAAGGGGGAGGGGGAAGGGGGGAGGGGGAAGGGAAGAGGGGGGGAGAAGGGAGGAGTGAATGCGTGTGGGAGGATAAGGTCGTACGCGGTATAGAAGCGCGTCTCAGGCGCGTCTGCAGGAACTGCTTCTCTGCTCTTTTCAGGAACTGTATCCGCTGGCTTGACCTGAAAAGAGCGGAGGGGGGAGAGGGGGGAAGCGCGGGGTGGGTGGAGTAAGGGGGGAATGGGAGGCAGCGGAGGGGAGGGGAAGGGGGGGGGGGGGGGCGGGGGGGGAAGAGGAAATGGAGGACGGGAAGGATGTGGGAGGATAAGGTTGTACGCGGTATAGACGCACGTGCGTCTGCCAGGATCTGCTTCAAGTCTATTACTGTGTCCGCAGGGTTGACGTGAAAGGTAGGGGGGAGAGGGGGAAGCGCGGGACGGGTGGAGTGCCGGGTGGTGGTTGTACGCTGTATAGAACACCCATCTAGTGCTACTGGCGCTTCAAGTCCATTACTGTATCCGCTAGTCAACCCGACGGAAAGGAAAAAGGGATGTGGGGTTGGGAAGACGGGAGAAGGTGTGAAGGTCTAACGGATACGTCAGCACCTGACGGAATGGAGACGTAAGAGTCTGACGGGATGGCCCATGCCATGCTTATTCGCCATCCATTTATACCTCCATTCTCAGCGTGACTTTTGAGTCGACTCAAAAGACATCTTCCAACCTGGATTCTCTAATCGGTCAACAAGGCCTGTGAACGCCAGCTGGCACAAATCTCACGACAGCCACGTCGCTCATTGATCTGCGGCTTCTGGAGTTGAATCGTCCCAAGCGGAGCCTTCCCACAATGCCATTTCGTCAACTCAGATAAGCCACAGAAATCAAATCTTAAGTCCAAATCTCGACGTACCTGCAGTTCGATCTCTTCCCCAGCAGGTCATTTCACCGCGAGAACGGGTACAACTGAAGCTCCTTCGCTTCCCCCTTAAAAGCATTACCGTCTCCCTTTTCTATGCTCCTCGAGAACGTACCTGCAGCTCGATCTCCTCCCCAGCGGGACCCTTAACGGCAAGAGGATACAGTTGAAGCTCCTCCGCATCCTTCTTCGCAGCACTATCGCCCTCCCCTTCCGCTTCCCCCTCCCCCTCCTTCTTCTCCGCTCCCTCCCCCTCTTCCTTCTTCTCCTCCCCCTCCGCAGCAGCAGCATCTACTGCAGGAGCCGCGTCGGCAGGGGCGGCATCGGTTGGCTTCTTCTCCTCTTCCGCGGCTGCAGAAGAGGCTGCCGTGGTTTCCGCGTCATTCCCCATGACGAATCACCGGCTGACAGCTGTCAACGGCTGACGATTAATGCGATGCCTCCTGGACAATGGGGAAGGGGAGAATGGCCGTTACTAGAACCTGAGATTGCTGATGCTGGACGGCTTAATGCATGGAGAAAGTGAGATGGACGATCAGGAAATAGGAACTTCAAACGAGGATACATGCGAATGAAAATGAACGCTAAGAGGAGAAATCTTCACAAAAACCTATATTACTATGGCTCTCAGTGTCATGCGCTCATTATACTTCTTAGGTAGTAAAAGTCAACCTAGAATGTCAAGAACGAGGACCGTCAGCCACTCACGTAACAATGCCCTGAGGTCACCAGGCAGCACCAAAATAATCCGTTCAGTCGCTCTCAACGGCTTTTTTTTAACTAAACCTAACAGAGAAGCCGTTGGAGGGAGGAGAGGAGTAATGGATTTCCAAGGCTTATGCCAAGAAGGCTAAGGAGCCTTCACGAATCAGAGGAAATTAATAATGGCTATTGACGCCTGTAATAGTAGCATGGTTCATGGACCAGGCAGGGGGAAGGGGGAATGGGGGAGAGGCGTTCGGGGGAACGGGAGGTTTGATTCCAGGGATTGTTTAAAATTGCTGGTTTAAATCTTCATGAAGATTCACGAACTCAGAGTTGTGTATACCTAAATTCGTCAGTCTCGATCAGCTTTCAAACACCTCGCAAGTACGCACCAAAAGGGCCAGGTTTGGGACGTTCACTTCAGTAATCAGTGTGTAACTGAACTTCGAGCCCGAGTCTCATACCGACTATTTTAGTAGAACACGACTCGAATTAAAAGATGGGAAATGCACGACGAAACTAGAGGGTTGGCGGAAAGCCTATCCCCAAGAGGGAAAGCCAGCAATGATCAGCCGACAGCATGACAAGAGGCGAAGAGCCAGGGATGAGGGGATGAGGTGGCCACACCAGGCGGGTTTGGGGTTTCTTGACACGGCCAAGCCAATCCCTAGAAGCATCGTGGCACATGGGCGTGCCTCTGTCCACGTCATCCGAGCCAACCGTTACATCCACGGGTTTCAGCATCCCTAAAATCTTAATTTGTAAGCAATAATTCAAACACCCCTCACAAGAAATCTATATGCTTGTAAGGAAATTGTATTTCCTTATCACGGGTTTTATTCAGTAAGGCGTACACTGCTATAACGGGTTTGCCGCGCAGCTCTGCCACGAAATTCAAATCGCGGTCCCAAATGTGGTCTCCTGACGAGCCGTATGCATTATTGTTCGCCTTGCTGTTGCATGCCTAGATCTGGGCACTTCGCGCCAATTTACGAACCACACGTTGCAGCTCTGCCGAGCCACGACCGTGTGTTCCTAGGCTAGCTATATCTACTTTCCCTGCTGTTTTTATGTTGTCTCAGCTGTATTGTTTCCTCGTTAATCAATCCTTCGACACATGCTCTTTGCGCTTCATTACACCTGGCCTTAGTGTCAACGATCATGAGCCTTACGCTCTAGTTCCGCTACAATACCGACACTTAGGGAGGCTGACGCCCTCTGCTTACTGAATATCCGCTGTCCTGGTAATATCAATTGATAATTACCTACATCCACGACTGTGTTCGTAGTGCCAGCGTATCGAAAGCCGCCCAAAACTTCATGCGAAATGGTGGATCTGTCAGCGTCTACCGCCATGACTCATGAAGAAAGGGCGGCAGCACTTGACGAAGTCCATCTTACTCACGAGTTGTACCAGCAGGAGTTGGTTCGTCTGCGAGCTGAAACGACCCAAGATGAATTTGAGGTATCAGCACTTCGGAGCCGACTGCCGCAGACACGACACGACACGATCGCACCAACAACAAATTAAGGACAATAGGGTCAAGTAACCCAGCAGTTTTCCGAAATACCTTACGACAATCTGCGACCACATGCGGCTTCGCCCGAGGGTTCGACGAACAACCCACCACCGGCTATTGGACGAACAGAAATTGGCAAAAGGACGAACGTGAATCTGCCGCCCCCAATTACCTGTCCGACCGGCCTGCACAATGCAAACATCAACATGGTGCCGGGAATTGTCAAGACACAAAGGTCGCCCACGTTTGACCCGAGCGAGCATGACAGTATGTCCGTCAGCAGGTGGATCTTCCACCTGGATGTTTTTTACGACTGCAACCTCGTCAGCGACGACGCGCAGAAAATTCGATACGCCGTATCAGTTCTACGTGGACCGGCTATGGATTAGTGGCAGCAAATAATTCAGGCGCAGGAGCCCGATACGGCGCCGCGCGTAATCAGGCATTTTCACACAACCAATTACTGGGCAGGAAGTTATTGCGAGGTAGACGAGTACAGGACGTGGCAATCGTGGTGTGCGGGAATTCGTCGCTACTTCGATCACGTCAACGCAAGCAACCAAGCGCGCGACCGCCTTCGCACGTGGCGCCAACTCGGGTTAGTCCAGGACTATACCAGCGGCTTCAAGAACCTATGCGATTAGTATCAACTTATACATATATTGGTATGTAGAAGTTATAGGCTAGATACAGTGACGGAAGAAATTGTCCGTATGTTGGGCAATTTTGTGGAAAATTGTCAGTTGCTGATTATTGGGAAGTTTATAATGTGAAAGGCTTTAATGGCCTGGTAGACAAAGGCAACGGCACACGTAAAATGCCAACACTAGCCATATTTGGTTTTGTTATGCCAAAGTTCATAGCATTAGATACATGGATGTACATTAGGACAGATAGTCCCCATTTCAAACAATGCATAACATTGTCCATAATCAGTACCTAATCCATCTACCCTTTGCCCTAACAACGGCCTTCCCCCTCCTAGGCATACTATCTATCAATCCCCTACAAACTTCTGCTCCAATACTCTCCCACGTCTCCTGCACTCGCTCCCAAGTTTGGAGCATGCTTGAGGGGGGGTACTCATACTTGGCGAGCTCACGTTTGAGGTGAGACCATAGGTGTTCGATGGGATCTAGGTCTGGGGAGGAGGAAGGCCAATGCAGGACTGAGTATTCCTGCTCAGAAAGAAACTCTTGCACAAGCCTACTCTTATGCTTAGGGTCGTTATCTTGCTGGAAAATAACATCACTGGCGGTTAGAGAGTAAAAATCGACAGTCAGAGCAAGCTCATCCTGCAAGATCGCACGGTACAGCTACCCATCCATGCGCCCTTCGATCTTACACATAAAATCGGGGCCATCATAGGTCATACATCCCCATACCATTATGGACCCGCCCCCATGCTTCACACATTGCTTCACCTGATGCGCTTGAAGAGCCGCGCCATCGCGGATCCAAGTGAAGCTGCGGCCATCGCTGCAAAAGCGGTTGATCTTGGTCTCATCCGACCAGATCACCTGCTTCAAGTCCTCGATAGTCCAGTCTAGGTGTGCACGGGCGAATTCCAAGCGATCTCGGATGTTACGCGCTGAAAGACGTGGCTTCCTCGGTTGCTGTTCAGCGACAAGCCCAGACAGCTTTAGGGCATTTCGTACTGTGCGCGGGCATACCTTAATGCCCTGTACTAACTCTAACTGTTTTGCGGCCTCTACACTCGTTTTGATAGCCCCTGAAGTCACGACACGCACAAGACATCGTTAGTCACGCACCGAAAGCAAACGAGGGCGGCCTGATCAAGGTACTGTTGGTCGTACTGCTAGGCGGCTGGTGCGCTGGGATGCCTGTTCCGCATATTTCTGAACTGTAGTTTTCCCTATCCCTAACGTGCTCGCAATCTGGCGAAAACTACGACCCTGATGAAGCAGGGTCAAGAGTCGGTCCTTAATACGCGTTCTTATCGGGCGCATCGTGGCAGGGAGCTAGGCGAAGACTTCAGGAAGGGTATCGTGAAGCTCTATGTGCGTAACCTAGTTCGAGCGAGAAATGCAGGAAAGAACTCGGTCTAGGCTCTCGGTGGGAGGTAATTGTCCGAATCGAGTGAGTTACCTAAAATTGTGTACACGTTTGTGTAATCTCGATATTACTTGTAAGATATATTTGTGTGTTGAGCCCTAACGCCCTAAGGCAGAATGTGTGTGGCCCATGAGTACTAGTAACATACAATATAAATAGCGTAACACGCTTTTATCATCAAAGACCACAATTTCAAGGCCAAAAAATTCTGTCACTGTAGGTTTGTGTTCTTAGAGGGTACAACTCCAATCCTATATCTTCCTTGTTCATACTTGTTTCTATTTATTCTGCTATTTTGACATCGTATCATAGTAGGTTAGGTCCGCCCACCCGCTTCCGCCCCTCGCCCTAGCCTACCGCCCCGTCGTACCCTAGACTTACCGCGCCCCGCCGGCCCCTAACGCCCTACCGGCCCCTAGCGTCCCGCCGGCCCCTAGCGCCCCGCCGGCCCCTAGCGCCCCGCCGGCCCCTAGCGTGCCCACCGGCCCTTAGTGCCCCGCCGATTCTTAGCGCAGCGCCGGCCCCTCGCGTACCCCGCCAGCCCCTAGCGCGCCTTGCCGAACCTCAATGCCCCGCTGGCCCCTCGCGTCCCTGCCTGCCCCTCGTATACCCCGCCTGCCCCTCGTGTACCTCTCCGGCCCCTCGCTCCTCGCCGGCCCCTCGCGTGCTCTCCGGCCCCGTGCGTACCCTGTCGGCCCCTCGCGCACCCGGTCGGCCCCTCGCGCGCCTCGCCAGCCCTTCGCGCTCGCCGGCCCCTCGCATACCCTACCGGCCCCTCCCGTACCCTCCGGCCCTTCGCGCACCCGGCCAGCCCCTCGCGTGCCTCGCCGGCCCTTCACGCTCGCCGGCTCCTCGCGTACCTTGACGGCCCCTCCCGTGCCCACCGGCCCTTCGCGCCTCTCTGGCACTTAGCGCCATACCGGCCCTAGACGCCCCGCCAGCCCCTCGAGCGCCTACCTAGCCCTAGCGCTCCGCTGGCCCCTTTACGCCCTGCCGGCTCATCGCGCCTTGCCGGCTTGCTGCGCGCCTCAGGCCTTGTGCGCCCTGCTCGGCCTTCTGCCCGGTCGTCCCGCCGGAGAGTCTTGCCGCCACGCCATCGTGCCGCCGTCCCACTGAGTACCTATGCCGCCGTGTCGATGTGCTGCTGTGCCGCCGTGTCGCTGTGCCGCCATATCGCTGTGCCGCCGTGGAGCTGTCACGGTGAGGTTGCACGATGGCAGACGACGTACTCCGCCTGGACGCGGAGGGGCACGCGATCGACTTCGCCGCCTAGCTTGTGGATCTTCGCCGTCACCTAGCAGGTCAGCACCAGGATGGGCACTCCTCGGCTATGCATGTTGATGGCTTGCTTCCCCGCCCCCCCGCGCCTCATCCCCTCCGCGAACCCCACTATTGTTGAGCGTGAGGCCTTTTCTGCTGCTGTGCTCGCTCGCGCTGTCTGGGATTCCCGCGATGCTGTAGCGCAGCTCGCCATTAGTCATGCTCATCCCCTGTCTGAGCGTCCGCGCTTCATTGCTATCGCGAACGCCAAGGATTTCCTAGATGCAATAGTTGCACGCTACTCCACACC